ACAGTACGAGACTCGCACTTATGAGTTCGCTAACAGAGAAGAACTGCGCACAGGTGGGTAAAAGTAGGCCCCGCAAAACAGTAAGATCCTCACTATGCGTGTGATCAGATCACACCCTCATCCTATTAGCAAGTAATAATAAACAATGAGTTTTGCAGAAATAAAATAGTCTACATTTCGTGTGTTGTGTTTGTCCAACAATACGACAGACATAAAAAGCTGACGTAGGCGGGGGATTTTCATACACTAGACAGCCCTCTTTGAAGAGGTGACAGGATTCGAGGGCTCATTTCACTATTTCAAGTGCTTTGTAAACATTAACGCGTTCCCAAAGCACAAACAGGGGCCTCGCGAGTCTCAGAAGGGAAGGAAATGGTAATGGGGCTGGGAAGGTGAGACTTTCCCTTGCTGTCAAGTTTGAAATAACCTATTACCTTGGTCGCCCACGCAGCCCTTAGCGTAAATACGAATTAGAAGACGAAGAAGGAGAAGGAGGAGGAGGAGGAGAAGGAGAAGAAGAAGAAGAAGGAGAAGGAGAAGAAGGAGAAGGAGAAGAAGAAGAAGATGATGATGATGATGATGATGATGATGCAAGAAGAAGAGGAGGAGGAGGAGGAGGAGAAGAAAATAAAATGAAATATATATAACTTCAACATTATGTTCAAGCTTAATGGGTAAAAACATTATATGCAATAAGATAAATATAACCACAATAATGCAATTGAGTTTCTCTGAAAATATTATATCCAACCATCCGTTAGATTATGTCTATAGGCTGAGACACAGACGCAAACAAAACCCTGTGCATTAATCTCTTCACTACTGCGCAGACGTGTCATAATATTTTCTCTTGTGGTCTCCAAAATTAGTTCACTGGCAGTGTTCTTCGTGCAGTTACTTATTCATAAATAACGAGAAATATCGTCATTGTCGCATTAAGTCCAAGTTTTAAAGCTTTACAATTACCTTGCTTTTCTTGATCTCCGACAGGGAACAACACTACAAAGGATAGTTCTTTTTTAGGATGTAAAAGGTACCCAAACGGACGTCAGTGCAATGCTTGCGACACCGATGAAATATCATTATGTGGCTTTGTTTCAATGTCTCTTGAATAAACAGTTTATCTTTCCGCTTCAAACGTAGGCAGAAAGAGACGTCTTAGCAATGAAGGGGTTAAGACTGGTGACGGATCGAAAGGGTTGAAAAGTTGAAAGTGTGAAGGGAATGCAAAGAGACTTGTGCGGCACAGGTAAGCGGGAGAGCGGGACACAGCGTGATTCTGACGCTCCATTTCAGCTTGTTTTATGAGATTTTCCTTTTAAGGTTTTACAGCACACAGTCTAGTTTGGTCCAATCATTGTTTTTGTTATTGTTTTCGCTCTTGGTTTTTTCTTTTCTTTTCTTTAAAAAAAAAAATGCATTTGTGTGTTGTTGGTTTGTTCTTGCTTTGTTTTGTTTTTTAAAATTTGTTTGCTTGGTTTGTTTATTTGATTGGGTTTCTTTTTCTTTTGTTTGCTTTGGTTTTGTTGTATTCCTTTAATAGTTTTTTTTTTTTTTAAAGAGGTGTTGTGGTATCAAAATCAGACCTATAGTTTTTTAGGCCATTATCATTACATCAGCACAACACGCCCTGATACTCGGAACATTGCAATGAAACAAAAAAGACGAGGTTCGCGCGTCATGTCGCCTTGCCCTTCTCACTTCTCCATTTCTCCATTCCTTCCTTGCATAACTGCGCGAGCCCGCGGAGTTCACCCTGTATGGGACACTTGACCGTCACCCGTCCGCCGATTGAAGTGACCGGTGACGACACCCTGGCCGAATATTGTCCTATCTCCATGCCCCGCTGACCCGTTAGACCGTTAGACCAACTCGATGGTCATTTGCACATAACGTGAACTTGAATGGTACACACGGTACCAGCTTACTTTGTATTCTACCGAGGAGATAGGCAGAAGCACACACATACACACAGTTATAAGGCCTACTTATGGAATCGGATTTTAGTGAGGGTGGAAAATAGACGAACTGTTTGCCTTAGAGTTATAGTTGTGGGCATAAAAATGTTTTTCTTTAGTGGGATAGCGATAAATTTAGCACTGAGCGATTAAATTATTTGGTGCAGGCTTCTGTATGTAAGCACGCATGAGCGCCCTTGTGCACACGAATACGCCCACAATGACACATGAATACACACAGCCTCACACGTACGTACACAAATACACAGACATACGCACACTCGTGCAAGGAGAGGGACAGAGAAAAACAGAGAGAGAGAGAGAGAGAGAGAGAGAGAGAGAGAGAGAGAGAGAGAGAGAGAGAGAGAAAGAAAGAAAGAGAGAGAGAGAGAGAGAGAGAGAGAGAGAGAGAGGGGGAGAGATAGAGAGAGAGAAAGAGAAAGAGAGAGAGAAAGGGAGAGTTGAGTTTGTGCCTGTGTTTGTGTGTATGATTTTGTGGGGGGAAGAGAAAGAGAGGGGGGAGAGAGAGAAAAGGAGAGAGAGAGAGAGAGAGAGAGAGAGAGGGGGGGGGGGGAGATAGAGAGAGAAGAGAGAGAGAGAGAGAGAGAGAGAGAGAGAGAGAGAGAGAGAGAGAGAGAGAGAGAGAGAGAGATCATAACATCGACACACGCCTAGGCCTACACATCCGCATCAGATCAATTATTTTTAGTTTTCACAAATAAAGACCGATATGATTTTAAAAAAGGGTACTGGAATAACCTCACATCCAAAAATAAACAGACAAATCGATAAAGAAGTGTGAATAACATGAAGCAAAAGAGAACTACAAAACGAAAGAAAGGAAAAACGGTTGACTTCTTTGAGAAATTTCAGTCTACCTTTACTGCAATGTTAACACCAGTCTTCTTGTGGTATACAAGAAATGTTCATATTGATCCAACTGTCCACAGACTGAGATATAAGAGAGCAGCAGCTCCAAGACTAGGCATCAATAATTGCATCTAGATCTATTCAGATAGAATGTTGCAATATCCAAAAAAAGAATGGGAAAAAGAAAAGACAGAGGCAGGAAACTTAATTAATAGAGACAAATGTTTTTGACCTGACGTCTAGTGGCCACTTCATAAAATCCAAGAATCGAACTCATATCACAGAAGTAATCCGAATGCGGTAAGAGAGATCAGTAACATCACTGCACTACACACTGCACACTTTCATAGACACTCCTAAAGCTGAACTGGAGGAAGCATGGATGCAACACGCCAATTCGT